GATGAATGTTTCTTCCGCGACGGAATCCATAAATTGCCAGAAAGATGGGAAAAAGTAATGGCTAGCGATGATCAATACTTTGAATGAGGTATTCATTCATTTTATAATTCAAATAAATGCGTTAAAAAAAACCGACCGAATTAAGTTGTACACCCAATACAATAATTTTTTAGAAGCTATATGGCAGTTTTATTAAAGCGTTAAAAACATAACTAGACAACTTTCAGGGAAATTCTCATTTTGGCTAATACGTCACTGAAATTATAACTCAAGATAAAAATAGGAAATCAAAAGGTTTACCATACTAAAGTCGCACCCTACAATATAACTTTTGCAATGAAAGAGATGTAATAATTACGAGGCTCTAGGATTCTTGGAATTTCAGGTGATGGATAAACTTTCTAGATCTATTAGACATAACCACTTCTAAATCAATCAAATCCAATTTTTAAGACCAACATTTTCTAAAAACTCCTTTCTTAGAGTGTGTGCAGGCTTTTTAGCAAAACCTCTGATTTTCTAAAATTCATCTCTAGTCTAAGAAAAACGGCACAAACTATATGAGACGCACCATTAAAATGTCGATGCATGCGTATATTGTAACTCACCTCTAATACAGGCGCAAAGATAAAATGAGAAGTAAACTTGCCTGATAGTCAACCATAGCCACCAGTTTCAAATCGTGGCTACCATTTTGCCGCCAAAGCAAATTTCCTGACCATAAATCTCCATGACATATAACACGCCGCATGCCTAAGTGGCAATTCTTACAAACTCTCTATTCTATATTTTACAAAAAAAAAAAACTCAAGATCAGTTTCTAACGTACCCAATACGTCGGCCAAATTGTCAGCCCAAACAACATCTCCAATCTCAGGTAGGACATTTTCTAATTTATCTATTTTCTCCGATAACTCCTCACCGCCAAAGTTTCGTAGCATTTTCATTCCACTTGCGATGCTCTAGGCAATGATACCTTTTCTAATATGCTTAGAAGCATATTTCAAATCCTAATAGATGTATGTTTTTGATTAAAATGAAAGTACGCTCACAGAGTCAGTGAACATCTGCCCATAAAGTTCAGAAAATAATTTATTTGTTATTTCATTTTTCTCTTCACTATCAAAGCTTAGAGACATTGCTTCCATAACAGCCAAAGCATGTAGCACCTGAAACACATTTCAATACTCATCTCATCTAATCCATTGAACCAAGGCACACACTTCTCTCATAGCTTCTAAAGTAATATTTTCATAAATGTGCACAGTTTTCACGTTTTCCAAATACTCCATAATGATATATCCTTTGAGTAGATTGGACTCCGAAAATTTTCTCACGCAGTAGATCTGAAAACAAAGTTTGTCACAAATTTCTCATGAATATAACAAACTGGAGGATACACTACAAAAAAACCACTTTGCTGTAAAAATCCCATCGATTTTCCTAAACTAAACAATGAGCAAACCTTAGGTGCAGGAAACTTTCCTTGAGGTAGCTTCATCAAATGAGAGTAGAGTATAACTTCCGTATTGTGAAGCTGAAAAAATGTGCTGGGTAGGGAGAACAACAGTTGTTTTTCTTCTTCAAAATAAAGCGGCTGTCCTTGGTTTATATTTACTGCTAAAAAGAGAATGAACGACAAAATTGTGAAAAATGATCACA